CATTGAATTATTTTGAACTTAGTACAGTGAAGAATAATTGTCTTGAACAAAAATAACTTTCATCATGCGTCTACGTGGACGAAATAATGTTTATTTTAAATTGAGTAGTGCAGCATTGATAGCATGAAAAAATGTATAGAATAAGTAGGTACGTTACCTTTGTTGAAGGAATTCGCTGGTCACTTGAGAACGAAGCAGGTTAATATCACAGGACCGAATTGAGAGATAAAAATGACGTTGATGAGAATTTGCAGAGAATTTATAAGTTCAGCTAAGAGGGAGTGACTTATTTATTCTGATGATTGGCTCGAAAGATCAACAAATTAATATTTAGCCCAAATAAGTAAAGGAAAGAGCATGTCATTGTCAATTTTGTTAATATTCATAAAGTGAATTATTACCTATCATATTAGAGAGTTACATCGAAATCATCTCACTTATGCAAATTGAAGTCAAGAAAAATTAATGAGAATCATAAACCACATTGAATTATTGCTTGAAAAAGGGTGAATGGAAAACTATATAGTAAGTGACAGTTTTGTTAACATTGAGTATGGGTTATAGCTTAAAATTATTTATCGTCATAACAATAATTCAGAACCACAACAAAATCTTTTCAGTTTCGCAAATTAATCCCCGTAATTTATCGCTCAAAAATACCACTGAACTTCGTTAATATCACCCGTGTAATGAACCACCCAGGTAAATTTTTTGTTAACTGTAACCTTTTGTGACTCAGACGTAAGAGTGAAGTTAATCTCTCGCCAATTAAACACAAGTGAACAGTGGAACAAAAATGTTCAATTTAAAATATAAGCAAACTTTGATTTTGTTGCCTGTAACCTCTGCCTGACCCGAGGCCTGACCATACTACCTGAATATATGTCTCAGTAACTATCTATATGCTGTCTTAATGTCAACAATGTCAGTTTGCCTCCTGCCTCAATAATCACGAACCCATTGATCGTAAAAATTACTTTGTGAAGACCCCCTGTAGTAGGCCAACGAAAGAAGAAAGTTGGAGGCTTTACATTCTCCATCGAAATTTTCAATGCTTTGACTATAATCGGGCATCAACCTGAGTTCGTTCTTGCTTCTCCAATAGCTTTTAGACATCTCTCTTCCTTGTCCTGAACCTGAGACAGTATCCGCTTCACCATTTATTATGTCCCCTGATTCATAGATTCAATATCGTAACGTGATGCAAGTTCTCCAGTTACACGATAGAAGATAAAACAGGATTTTTCCAGTACTGTATAAGTATAGAATATCGTTTTACAAAACACTGATTGTGGCTGCAACGCGAGATGCCCATTTCCATCTTTCTTTGTTCGCGTTGTGGAACGGTGACAGAACCTCATGCAGAAGGAATAAGGTTGGGTTTATTGTTTGATTTACATTAGGAATTGATCACTGATTATTATATAATTGTTGTCCATACAATATCGATTAAAGAGACCTGAGATGCCTCATCGACAATATTATTCCATTTTATATAGGTCAAATAGGTATTACAAAAATAACAATGCTATCAATTGAGGTGACCATAGTTGGAAGGAGATTGCACGGATATTGCACCGATTATAAATATATCTGGTAACTTCGATTTATTGATTCAAGAAGCTCGAAATCATTTCCACACAATAACGTTCATAAAATGAACAACAATGGTTGATTTAGAAAAAAAAATCGACTCATATAAACGAATACTGATACAAGTGATTCTTTCCCGAATGCCTGTTGATTTAGATTTAGCCAGGCCACGCTAGACACCTACAGACCGGTTTCGAGCTCTTTGACGCATCAGTGCAGGGCAGTATCCAGCCAGCAGTCCTAAGACCGCCGACGAAGCGTAGTGTATATTTCCTCAGATGCGTCCTCCATAGACAATATGAGAGCAACGCCATCTGAGTAGAAAAGAAGGAGAGAAACACCCCAAAACCATAATTCCCATACGGGAGTGGCTGCTTTAATATATATAATAAATCTCGTATCGTATCTCTCAGCTGATATTGATGAACAAAAAGTGAAACAGAGCCTAACAGAGTAATCGTTAACTTCACTTAATTCAGATATAAGACGCTATCATGTGTTTGCGGCGGACCAATGAGAACGCGTTATTGCGTCATCGCGTCGAAGCAGCGACTATGCGTGACCTTGAAGTAAACTGTTTTTTACCACGTCGAACCTTACATTTTCTCATGGAGATTTACATCGGAAAACGGGGCGAGGCATACAGACCAGAAGTTACCCTTGACCGAAATTTCTGTCAGGTTATTTATGAAGGTATACCCTTCATTGTGACTCAACAATGAATGTAATAACATTTGCATACAATTTAGGTGGGCGAATTAAGCCATATTCGAAGGTCATTTGACGTAATTATCCTATTATGTACCTACGAGATTATCTACGAAGTCCCCAAATTCTCACCAGGACCAGTTAACCACAAACTATGATTTGCATACGATGTGCGAATTGCAGGGATTACATAATAGCCCAGTAGAATTAGCAAAATAGGCTCCAGGGGAGACAAAATTCGAAAGTTGCTGAAAATTGGTTGATATCGTACTTGGTACATTGTCTCTTTATTGGATTCTTCCACTAAGGGCTCAAGATATTGACAATGAGATGCTTTACAACTTAAGTGCCGACACAAACGTTCCGATTGTCCGATTTCAAGTTATTCAAGGTCAAAATTTACGAAAATCACATTGCCCCAAAAACCACTTAAAAGCTAATTATTTCTCAAAATTTTGTATCGCTATAATACTAAACCTTTTTTGGGGAACATTTATCAAAAAACAAGTTGGATTTAAAAAGTCTCGATCTGCGTTGGCCTAAAAAATTTAGTAAACAATTTTTTTTCCAATTTCACCTTGATTCTCCCATGGAGGGTTGATCAGGAAAAAAGGTATTGTGTAGCAACTGATGTCTATATTTTGAGAGAGATATAAGGGGAAAACTGAAAAATGGAATATATCTCTGGCGGCCATGTTTCTGGTGATTTTTGAAAATATATCATGTCCCAAGGAAGCCATAAATTGATTTTCAGTAGGTAGCTTCGGTATTTTTTTGCCTCAAAATAATAATAATATTACTTACTTACTGAGGTACTTCAAGATATATTTACCCAATTTTTTGGTTAATTTTGAAGGTTGTATTCTTCTACTTTCTCTCGAGGGATACATGAGAAAAATAACTCATTGAAAATGTGAAAGGGGCTACAAAAGAAGAAAAATGTCAGGAAGTTGAAAAATTCTATTTTTTTACTCCAAATGGGACCCTCAGAACTCCCCCCCCCCGCTCCTTTCAGTTATCTAGCACTGGTCCCTATTGAGTATCAACAGATTCTTTTTGAAGTGGCAAAGACAACTTGGTTACACAAAAAAGTAATGAAGCCCTCTGAAATCTATATCATTTCTGGTATTTCAATTTCCGGTTAAATGCATCTCCGTAGAGCCACCCCGATTCCTTTGAACTAGTTGGTGCCAGATTCGGGCAAAGGGACCCCGAAAACACCCGGAAAGCCCTTCAAACCGGATTTTTCAGATTTTTCATTTCCTTGATCGAATTCACCCCATTCATCCATAGATCCACCCTCATCACCCCCTCGGCCTTACTGTATATATAGGACAATAACGTCAAGTTACCTTCGAATACGGCTAAATTCGCCAACTTAAATTGTAAAACACAAGCATGCCTTTTCTCTAGGAAAGCGCCGATCTCACTGTGTCCAACATAAGCTTGTCAGGAGTATCCATACCTTTGAAGACATCCATTTCGATGCTTGGTATTACTATCAGCAAGAACCTTTCTTGGGAAAAGCATGTGAGATCAATTGCTAAAAGTGCATCCCAAAAACTTGGTTTTCTGTTTCGGGCCAGGAGCTATTTCACTTCCAGTCAGCTGCTTATGATCTATAAGGCACAGATCCGACCTGTCCTGGAATACTATATTTGGAGTGCAGCACCCAAACATACCCTGAAACTGTTGGATGCCGTCCAAAAAACGACAATTCGTCTCGTGGGTGATGCCTCGCTCACAAACTCACTCACTTCTCTGGAACACCGTAGAAAGGTTGGCGATCTGGGTCTATTTTATAGATATTTTCATGGACGATGCTCTTCTGAAATATCAACAATTGTTCCTCCCTTGGCAGTCTCCGCGAGATTAACCCGTCGAGTTGAGGCTTCGCACCCCTTCGTGGTCACTTTGGAGACCTGCAGAACATCTCTTTCCAAAGACTCGGTCAACCCACGAACAGCGAGGCTCTGGAACACATTGCCATGGGAGGTGTTCCCAGAGGGATATAACCTCCAGACATTTGAGAAGAACACCAATTCCTACCTTATTTCCCTTGGTTCTCACGATGTTCTCTGAACATTACAGGATATCCCTTTTCGTGGGAACCAGAACATAAAAAAAGGGCATACCTCCGTAAATAATCTGAGAGAAATGTCGGTTAAAGGTAACTTCCGCTCAGTATGGCTAGAGCACGGCTAATTTAGCGAGATGTGACTGTTCCAATTAAATACATCTTGAAGCTTCAATACAATTTTCAACATTAATTTCAACAAAAAGATGATTGATTAGGAGGAGGGGCGACCGGGAACCGATCGAACAAACCACTTTCTTGCCAATAATCCAACTCAATCTTCCCTAGAAGGGCATAGCTTTGTAGATAATCGACACCTCTAGTGTCATGGGCCAACGGTCTATTAGAAGGAAGTTGCAGAAAAAAATCAATAACATAAGAGTAGTCCAATTCCGAATATTTTCTAATATGAAAAACGCTTGGCTGAAATATTTCTTGCGGATTAATTTGTCTTTGTAGAAGTAGAAAATTATCTTTTTTGTAATGATAATCCATTTTCAATAGAGTTGAAATTTGTTGTTTTTCAATTTATTTCAGCCCCTTGATTCATATCCAAAACAAGGGATGGTGATTTTTTAGAGGTAACTCTGGTATATCTTAATTATATCTTTTTTTTTTTCAGTAGAAGAATTGATAGTATGCGGTAAAAAATTTTTGGGAGAAAATGGGGGTGATCTTGATGATAGTAGACTTGGTTTCCATGTCCCCCCATTCAATTCCATAGCACACTTGCATCTACATGTTATATCACCAGCTTCCCAGATGAGTTTCATAAGTAGATGTATCTTCAAACCGAATACCTGGTGGTTTCAAACAGTAAGCAAATAAGGAGTACCTAGCTAATTTGATAACATGATATTAGGAACCAGTGATTTGAGATCCACGAACAGATTGAATTATACAGTGTGGACTCTTCAACTGGAATAAATTCGATAGCAGGGAGGTGAATGATTTTTCGGAAAATTCATGAGACACGGCATTTCGTACACCGTTTGCCTAATAGTTTCAGGCATTCCCTGTAATGATGGAAGGAAGCTTCACTTAGGTCGAGTCAGGTTAGGCTGTTTAGAAACAGTAGTATATATTGTTTTCACAAGTAATTTTCCGAAAAAATACTTTCCAAGAAGGTTGATTTAATTCGAGTTTGGTTAGATTTTGTTCAGGAAAAGTAGTCTATTTTATGCTTATGCAGAACGGATATTTTTCAACCTCAACCTTCGGCCAAACAGAACAACGGCTGCAAATGGAAGTTACGCTGTTTGCCGGCAGTACGTGAAATTAGTAGGCGTTTCAGGAAATGGCGGATTTCACTAATAATGGACGCCGACGCATATGTATAATGATATCTTCAGAAAGGCAAACTGGCTGAAATCACGTCCGAAAATCTGTCACTATACCTGCCGGTCTATTACAATTACTATACGAGTGATTTGTATATAATGAAACAAACATACTGCAACATGAACGTACTAGGTACGTACTGGGGACGTCCAGATTCCGCACTTTTGTACATCCCCCGTAATTTCATTCAGGACCATGAATACCTGAATCAACGTAGATTCACCTTTTTTTACTCAGAGTTAAAAAAAGATATCTAGACAGAGTAGAAAAAAATATTTTCCTACGAGCGTGCGCAAAGTGAGTTTTCCGCACTCAGTGCTATGGGTATTATCCGCACGGCGTGCGGATAAGTAAAACTACCCAAAAATCTCACTGGTATGGAATATTTATATTCATTTTAGTTGCTGTAAACTATTGTATGCACTACAAGAAGCCGTTATCCCTTTTAGTTTTCAACCGTTCTTCCCGATATTCGTATTTCACCTCAATAATATGAATATTAGGAACAAATGATTTAATTACTGGGGACGTCCAGATTCCACACTTTTGTACAACCCCCGTAATTCGATTCAGGACCATGAATACCTGAATCAACGTAGATTCACCTTTTTTTACTCAGAGTTGAAAAAATATATATCTAGACAGAGTAGAAAAAATCTTTTCCTACGAGCGTGCGCAAAGTAGTACTTTTCCGCACTCATTTGCGTGCGCAAAGTAATAGTTTTCCGCACTCAGTGCTATGGGTATTATCCGCACGGCGTGCGGATAAGTAAAACTACCCAAAAATCTCACTGGTATGGAACATTTTAGTTGCTGTAGACTATTGTATGCACTACAAGAAGCCGTTATCCCTTTTACTTTTCAACCGTTCTTCCCGATGTTTGTATTTCACCTCAATAATATGAATATTAGGAACAAATGATTTAATTTTCTATCATTATATTTTATTGATATGTAATTGTTTGTTGTTTCTATCAAGTTTAACTAAAAATTATTCAATGAATTGACATTTAAGTTGAATTTTTTTTATTTTCATTATCCGATATAAAGCTCGTAGGGAAAATGTGATTTTCTATTATTATATTTTATTGTTATATGTGATTGTTGTATAGTTAAATTTTTTAATAAGTTATAATTTTTTTTATTTCCCTTTTCATCTGATATGAAGCTTGTAGGAAAAACGTTGTTCCTAACACATGCGCAAAGTGTTACTTTTCCGCACGCAAATAGCGAACGACGCGGAACAGAAAATAACTATATTTTGAATTGAAAATTAATAAAAACAACCACACCTACCAGGGATAGATCCCGCGACCTTTAGATTACCGGGCACTGCAAAGTTATTATTCATTCTTTTCTCAATTACATGGACAATTACAAGCACAACAAACATATTTAATAAAAGTGATATAAAACAATCCTCCAAGCAGTGTGGAGTTGGCTGGTGTTACCCAGAGGGGTGTTTGTTCTGTGATTAGAGTCCTAGTCAATGCATCTCAATTCCGGAAGCAAAGCTCCCTAGAATGAGAAATCCCCGGGGTGAACCCAGTTGGGCTAGGGTCGAATACGAACATTGGCGTTGATGGAAATTTGCTGGATTACGAGGGAATATGAAAACTAAAAACCCTCTCTAGTGCTCAGTCTCCTAGGATTCACGCTCTCTGACCACATCCAGTGGCCACGCCCAGAATCAGCCTCCAAGCCAATCAGCCGGTTGAGGTGTCCCGTAAATATAGCAGAGAGACGCGTTTGACTCTCTTTGGTGCTGCTGTGGAGCCATGATATTCTCCTGAAATTTAAGGAAATCGCTTACGCGATGTCCAATAAACTTCGTGAGCTTTTTCATTTTCTGGATGAAAATCTTACAGATCGTTCGAGTGTTCATTAAAAACATCGGTCGACTCATAAATCAATCCGTACTTTTTATAGATTCCATGCTCAGCTCTGGTGGTAGTGATATTGCTCGTAAGTTCATTACCCTGAACATGGAATCTATAAAATTTATTCGATATTTTCAAAATGTGTTCTTCGACTTATTTGATGTCAATATTCAACGACAAGAGATTATGTGCCAATGTCGATTGACCCTTCACATCGATACTTTCATAGAATTAGATGATATCGGTAGAGAATTCCTAAACAGTTGTTTTGCGATTAGTTACGGCCAGTATAAAAAATGAATTGTGAGAATTGCATTATGTTCATGTTTGCGATAGATATTAAAGATCGAGGGTAGAAATTATATGCAATGATTTCAAATACATCATTATACAATGTATTTAATTCCGTCCACAAAAAGTAGATAAAGTCCAGAGTTGAACGTTCTCAGTACATCGGAACCGTACGTACCCAGTACGTCTTGAAAAGATCCTGGACGTTCAGATCTAAATCGGACCTGAAATGGACGTCCCCATGACGTCGAGTGCTATATGGGTAGGGGCCATTCAGGGGAATTCAAATCACCTATCACCTATTTTAAATTCATCAAGTCGTTTATTCTTTCTCGATGTATAAGGGATTTGCTGATATTGTTTCACTACTGATACTGTAATGATTGAAATTGAAAACCAAAAAATTGGATCAAATAATTTCATGTAATGTCACTCTGTATGTGTTTGCCCTAATTTACAGTTGCAACCATAAATTACGTTAATATGAAGAAAAAAGTTTTTTCTGTCTAATTTACAGTTGCTACTAGAGTTACCGACTATTTTTTATATTGTGTTTCATGACCTGGTATGTTCTTAACACTCTGACTGCCATGTCAGTCATTTTGACCGACAGCTCGATCTCGTGCTGAGTCTATGCATTTTCATTGGTTCGAACGCGTCAGGCCACGCGAAATTTTCAGAGTAGGGGGCATCTAAGTGATCAGCACATTGCTGCTCAGACATTGTAAAGTCGTTCTGAGGTACAGAAGAACATAAAAGGATGTCAGCTAAAATCGATCGACGCGGCCTGACAAGGCAATTTTCTTCAATGTATAGAAGTAAATGTGCATGATATACTCCTATTAGTTACCTACTATTTTATCGATAAACTCACAGGGGTTGAAACATTCACTATAACAACAAAAGGATAAAACACCGAGAGCTGAAAAAATTGTTTAATTTGTAACAAAAATCTCGTAAACCAATATGTACAATAAAGGAGGCAAAAAAGGAGATGAAGAGAGTGCGGACGCATTGAGAAGGCTGCCAAGAGATGCCTTCTATGTGCATTGAATGTCAGGTGAGGCATTATTGTAGCTATAAATTTCATAGTGAGCGCCACAAAAAAATTCACATTCGTTCATTTGAGCGCCGCGAATTCAGATCTAATGGAGACTTGAATGCACCGTCGGTCGTTTTCGCATGACACAGCTCGAACTGAAACTTCTGCTGTCGGTTGAAAATCACTGCCAAGCACCGTTTTTATAAGTCACCGTCGGTCACATATGACTGACAAAACCTGTAATAGAGAGAAAAACAGGGTCCCGACAGCCAGAGTGTTAATATTCCTCGTAAATCATACCCTTCTGGAGTCCCCATAACAAAATATGCTTTATCTTTATATATTATTAGTACCTTCATACAGGGTGTTCCTGAATGTCATGTAGAAATTGAAGGAGGTGTTTCCTAAGCCCATTTTAGAACTGGAAATTCCTATTGAATAAGTAACATTGTCTGGAATCGCTTCGTTTCGAGATAAAGGCCACCAAAGTTGGAAATATGCATGCATTCTTCTTTTGCCCATCTTTGTCCTTTTTACCCCGATTTCAGGTAATTTTAAACGAAATCGTTGCAATGTTTTCAAGTGCACCCTTAGCATATCAGGTAGTTTGTCGTATACCCTTATACAAGTAGGTCGTAGGTCCATAAACACTTTGTTTTGTTAACTCCAATCGATTCCCTGTTTGTTCACTAGATTTCTATGCCTAGTAAATGTTCAATCGAATTTGAAATTATACTTATATTTCAACGAGACGAATAAATGTCACCCACTTAATAAATTATTCCATATAGAATCGTTACGAAGGACGTGCTTCCTTTGCTTATTTTATGACTGAAATTTCCTATTAACATTCTCTGGAATCGATTCGTATCGAGATACAGGCCATCAAAGTTGAAATTGAAAATATGAATGATAATATGTAATGTCCATCTTGTATTTTAGTGATGTTATATGACTGAAAAAGCACAAAAATTTGATAATTTTATAGTCCAGTAATTTGAAGACTAATCTCGTTTTGAGTTTTTTCTTGAAAGCGGTGCGGGTTTTTTCGAGTTTTAACATGCGGTCTTTTTTGTACAGAATTGAATGATCTTTCAATGCCTTTGGGAAATATCTTTCGTCGTTCACTTTTTAGTAGAGAACAATGTTATCGAATAAATCTGGAAAAATTAGTATAGATATCTCGCCATTGAAAATCTGATTAGCCAAGTCCATTCATTGGAATATTTTCGATGTTTGTTCCACATTTGCCAAGTAATTGAATTAACTCAACTTTGACACCCTGTACCT